GGTTCTATTTCTTATCAGTTGCATGGATTTTGTGACAGTTCGCGTGTCTGTTATGCAGCCGTTGTCTATTTGAGAGTCGAGACCGAGGTCGATATCCGTACTTCATTAGTTATGTCGAAGACAAGAGTAGCTCCACTTTCCCAGACTTCAATACCAAGACTTGAACTGTTATCTGCTTTAATCCTTGCACGATTAATGGCTAAAGTTATGTCAGCGCTTCAATCGGTAATCGATATTGACATAATAAAATGCTGGACGGACTCAATCACAGCATTGTTTTGGATTCAGGGGAAAGAAAAGGAATGGAAGACGTTTGTGGAAAACCGAGTCAATGAAATTCGTAGTTTAGTGCCGGTAGAATGTTGGTCTCACACTCCCGGAAGGGATAACCCGGCAGACATTCCTTCGCGGGGAGCAAAGGCATCACAATTACAGACTAGCGACACTTGGTTTCATGGTCCTTCGTGGTTGGTTTGCGATGAAGGTGAATGGCCAGCTTCTAAACCCCTTTCCCAACCTTCGGACGAATGCAATCAAGAACTAAAGTTAAATCGAGGAGGTCTATCAACTACAAGCCTGGCGAATACCCAAGTAAATTTAACATACCTGCTTGATCCTAAACGTGTATCCAGATTCCACAAACTCTTGCGAATTACGGCGTATGTATTGAGGTTTATCAATCACATTCAAAGGAAACCATATAGCACTGGCTCACCTAGGACTGCAGAAATTAAAGCTGCAGAAATCATATGGACGAATGAGGCACAGCGGGACATGGACATAAAGCAGTTAGAAAGGCAACTTGGACTGTTTAAAGATGAAAATCAAGTTATTCGGTGTAAGGGACGTGTGGGTAATGCAGAACTTCCATACGTTACCAGATTCCCTGCTTTATTGCCTCGTCATCATTGGCTCACTACTCTAATTGTACGATATTGTCATGAACGTGTCCTTCATAATGGCTTGAAGGAAACACTAGCCGAAGTGCGTTCGAAGTTTTGGATTACCAAGGGTCGACAGACGGTTAAGTCTGTACTCTTTAAGTGTTCTGTCTGTAAAAGACTTCAAGGGAGACATTATCCAATTCCAGAATCACCGGATCTACCGCCATTTCGTGTTTGCGAAGAATATGCCTTTAGTTGCGTAGGGGTGGACTTCGCAGGTCCACTCTATGCAAGGTCTTGGAACAACGGCGAAAGAGAAATGATTAAGACTTACGTAGCGTTATTCACTTGTGCCAGTAGCAGAGCTGTACATTTGGAACTTGTTCCAAACCTCGAAGCAAAAACATTCATGTTGTGTCTCAGAAGATTTGTCAGTCGTCGCGGGCTTCCTCGGCTTATAGTCTCGGATAACGCCAAAACGTTCAAGTCAGCCAAGAAAACGCTTCAAAGACTATTCGACATACCCGAGGTGAAGAACTTTCTGGTCAACAAAGGTATTGAATGGAGATTCAATCTTGCAAAATCCCCCTGGTGGGGTGGATTTTTTGAGCGTATGGTCAAGGGAGTTAAAACGTGCTTAAAGAAAGTGCTCGGAAAATCGCAGTTATCGTTTGATGAACTATCTACCATTCTCGCAGAAATCGAGGCTGTTTTGAATTCACGTCCCTTGACATACTCGTACAGCGATGACATCGAAGAAGCGATCACACCCGCACACCTTATTATCGGGCGTAGATTGTTGAATTTACCTGACGGTGTAGTTCGAGAAGAAAACTTTGACGGTGAAAGCGGTAAGGAAGCAGTTCAAAGACGTGCAACGTACGTCGCGAAGAAAATTCAACATTTTTGGCAACGGTGGAAGCGCGAGTACCTTGTTGACATTCGTGAGTTTCATCGTCCGAAAAAGGGTAATACTAGCACGTCACCTGTTCAAGTCGGGGATATTGTTTCGATTCGGGATGAGTCGCAGTTGCAACGAGGATTGTAGTCGATGGGCAAGGTCGAGAGACTCGTGACGGGCAGAGACGGTAACGTTAGAGGTGCTCGAGTTCTTCGCGTGAAAAACGGTAAAAGAAATATAATCGACAGACCTTTACAAAAACTCTATCCATTGGAGATACGGTGCGCAAACACGGAAGAAGACAAGGTAAAGCCAGCGCGCGGAGACGAAGGTAAGATTGAAACGTTTGAACGGACAACGCCCAAGAGGGCTGCGGCAGTTATTGCTAACGACCGGATTGGCCAGTATTTCGAGGACGAATAGAACACACTGGCCAATGGGGGGAGTGTACGAATTTGAGTAGGAAAATTGAAATTTTTAACGTTAAGTGGAAACAGTAATAATTTAACATAATTATAGATATAGTTTAACGTGATTGGTTAATTGAGAACATGTGAACTCTCTTGTTGTTGTTAGAGTTATGGCGCTGTGAATTGTATTTTATAGAAATTAAGGGATATAAAACTCATTGTTTTTATGGTTGGTTGACGTAATAAAGGGAAATATAAGTAGAACAATCGAAGGTTTATACGAAAGATATGAATTATATCATCAAAAGTTAACAGCAACTGTGCTGATCAAGAGCTGGTCGGTGCTCGTGAGTTTCGTTGCTGTAAAGAGATCGTAGAAGCAAGTGGAAAATTTACTTGGATTGGCAAGGATGTTGAGTGTATCCTTGCTCATCCAGACTTTAACGCCATGACAAACGAGACGGTTCTACGCGAAGTTGGACCTCTTTTAAGGAACAAGAATGGCAGCTGCTACCGAATAAAAAATGGCGCAGATAAAAAGTATGTAGATCTACTTACAGTAGTTCAAAACATTTTTGTCCAGTACCAATAGTAAAGCAAGTATCGTTTCTGCTTTTTTCTAAAGATTACTGTGTATTTGTTATAGATTCCTGAGAGCTGTATCATATCGCTGGCTGGCAAGATGGCTATTTGGAATGATGGGTTGGGACAACACAAGACCCTTGTCAGCATGCATCTACCATCATATTAGGACTATATTCCCTACAGGTGATGCTAAGGGTTATATATCTGGAGAGGAACGAGCAGAGAAAGACAGCTGAAGTGACTATGACATTTTTTTATAGCTTCAATAAATAGAATATTAATAATTTACTTTATGTGCCAGACCATACATATTTTTTTCAAATATAAATAAATTCTATATATGTTCGCCTCTTTCCTGAGTAAAATATATGATCAAGAGACAAGTTACCCATAATTAAACAGTTTTGCTGCACACTACCATAACTTAGCTGCTTCATACAGTTTTAAATTTTAGCCAGGTATACCTATCTAGGGTTGAACCTGGGTTATTAGGCCAGGGTCAAGCGTCGAACTTTTCATGTGCCGAACCTAATGTTAATGAGCTAAGTTCTTTGTTTCACTTCATTTGCATTAGGTTTGGTACATAGTTCGACATTTGACCGTGGCCATAGTTCGACATTTGACCGTTTCCAGAGTAGTGTGCCAACTATACCGGTAAACCCAGGTTATGCATGTTTACAGATTATAAACTAACCCCAGCTAATTAAAGTAAACCAGGTTGATTCGGATGATGGGAAATACAATAAGACATTCAACATTTCAAGCAAAGGCTCTTCGCCTGGAAGTTATAAGGGTGGGTCGGAAAAACAGGTAGTTTTACACAAATCAACAGCCAAAAAAACACAGTGGCAACTGTGAAGCTGTTAAACCTGGTGGTTTTGTACAGTAAATCATGCTTTATATTCCATTCAAATTCACAGCTATGGGGAGCATGGCATAATTCTGTTCATATTCTATTGGGTTATTCTAGAAACATCCACACCTCATCACTTCCACACAGAAAATTTTGAGTTACACTACCCCCTTTGGATGCCTTGATGCATTTTAGAATTTATCAGATTTCCCACCTTAGCCCCCTGGACAGCAGAAATTTAATTTCCCTTGCAGAAGGGGTGTGGATAATTTCTGGAATACGCATTCAGACTATTGAGCTTGACATTTTTACAACATAATGACATCAAGGGCAATGTGACCGGGGATGGCCTTTCATAGGTGCTTTGCATTTTGAGCATTGTCTTGCTTTCCTTTTTGGTGGTGGTAGATCTGCTGTCGACTTTCGTTTTTCTGCCTCAATCAATGATGTTTGTTCTGAAGCTAAAAATGATCAAATGTGAGGAGATTATAACAGGAGAAACTCAGTTATTGATTGCATTTATTATGTGATAATTTTGTGGTGTTGGTAGTAATGGTTTCTCATTACCTGATGGAAAGAGTTCTGCAGTTTTCGCTTTTCGCTCCCTGTAGCATTTTATTGCTTCACTTTTGGGGGTCTTTTCTAAAAACTGGCTTGTCAAGGGTTCAGGAACTTTATCCTTGTATGTGTCCTTGATTTTCTTCCGTTCTTCTTTGGTCATAGAAAACAGTTTTTCTTTGATACTGCAAACATAACCTAAATGACAAAACATGAGATAACTTAAGCCAAAAAATGAAAATAATGTGAAATACAGATTTCCCCTTGTTTTATATCCTTGGACCTTTGATTTTCCCAGCATGTCCGAAACTTACCTTAGTGCTAAATAATAGAAATTACATTAGTATTATGGGTCCCAAAATTACATACCATAAGTTGCAGCAACAGCGATTTCTCGAACAACATCACCACCATTTTTGTATTTGGGGTATGTAACATTTACATATGTGCTGCCATTGGTCTTTTTTTGGTCTCCTAACATTTTCATTGAAATGCAAGATAGCCAGGATATGTCTGTAATTAAATTAAAGGGAAAGTTAAAGGGTTAGTTAAATTATTCTCGGAGCAGATTTTGTTGTTATTTTCTCAGATCGAACAAGATGCACACCTTTATTGGTGATGTTGCATTTCCTTGATGAGAGACTGCTGGTTATTATCATTATGTACTTTATACCTGCAATAGGTGCCAAGCCAGGAGAAACATCTCATTTTGGGATGCCACTGATTTAAAGTGGAATGAAATCCCTCCAAACAACTAGTCTCTGCATCAGGACACAGCCGCTTGATGTCATTTAGCAGGCTTGTCTTCAAGACAATCTTTTCAAGCCTCTCGTATGCAGGTGTGCGTACATAAATACAAATAGAGTTGTAATTGCTCAAGTCCCTTCTCTTTCAGAGACATGCCCCTTCCTCTTTCAATCCCATCTCCAAAGAAGGGGGTTTCATGGAAAAATTAAAATATTATTGATCTATATTTGACATACCAACTTTTATCCATTTTCTGCACTTCTCGAGCTCCTTGTGTGCACACTCTGGAAACAGCGGGTCAGGGTGGTCTGTATGCTTTTTGGCAACATGCCGAATAAATGATTTCCATTTGGCAAGAATCAATTTCTGAAACCCTTCTTTCGTTGTTGTTGAGCACCAGTAAATGTGGTGTTTTACAGCTGTTATCCATTTAGCAATTATCTCGCAGCCTTTCTTTTTGCTTGCTGCTAACATTTTCTTCACCACACTTTTAGCAATATGCCACTGGTCAAAATAGTGTGTGATGGTAGGGTGGTTCTCTCTTATCCACTTGGCAATGCCCCGGTGCCGATCGGAAACAAACACCGGAATTTCCAGATCAGATCGTTTTAAATAATTAAAGCATAACTTTGCAGCCTGCAGCTCCATAGCAGTACTACTGCCAGCCTGGTTTGCCTAAAATATTAAATTCAGAATAACAAAAAATAGGAATTCTACAAAATATAAAATATTATTAAAATCCGAGCCTCAAAATGTTGCCAAAAAACCTTGCATACTCCTAATGTTGGAGGCTTTAACTTACTGGTGAATTGAAAGGATCTATAAAGGCAGATTTCAACATTCTATTCGTCCAAGGTAAAACATAGTTATTCCAGGAACTTCAACACTTTTATTGATCAATGTATATACATACAAATCACTGTCAACCTTAGTATTCATAGTGTTCAGGCTCCAGAAACCACTTGTTGAAACCTTACTGGGTTGAAATCAGTTTTTGATGGATTACAGTATATTAAAAACCATACTGTACCTGTAATAACTCAAAATGCACTATTTTGTTTGATGGTGAACACATCATAGAGTAAACTCCATACTTGGCAGAATGCCCCATGGAATCAAATCTTCCATCTCCAGACCACACCAGGTTTTTTCTGGCTCTAAGGGTTGATATCAATGTCAACTGATATGATTCCCAGTGGTGAAGTATGGCAGGAAAGATAAATTTGCTCTGGTGGTAGAAAAATGTTCTCGCTTCATAAGCCTGCATACCAAAATGCTTGAAAACGAGCAGTACCTTGCTGATCGATGCACCTGCCATCAATATTGCAAAGCTTAACAACATATTTCCAGCAGGATAGGTTCCCATTATGAGAGGCTGGCTCCTCCAAGTGAAACCATTTGGGCAATTTTTGCAGTGCTGCTGTATAATAACCATAGTTCCAATCTTCTTCATTGAAACTTTGGGAGAATCTGCTTTGCATATAAAACAGAACATACTAAATATATGCAAAAGTGCACTGTAGAAAACAATGAACTTTGGCTCATCTTTGCAGTCTGTTTCAGGTTCAACTCTACAAGTGAGAAAAAAATGAATTACCTGTATGCATGCATAACATTTTCCCTATTTCCTATATACTGTATACATCATGATGTACAGGAAGTAGATTATATGAATATAATACATCTAGTCATTTCAGAAAACATCCACATCTTAAATTTGAAGTCTGAACCTGCTAATACATTTGTATGGACATGCTTGTCATTGTGCTGTTTCCAGTAGTAACCGGTACAGTAGATTTGCCCCTTCAGATGGCACAAATTCTCTTTGTGAGGAGAATGTGAATATTTTCTGGAACACCTTACTCTCCCCAGATGCACTGTATAATATCTGTAAATGTCTAAATATTTAGATTAATCTCAATTTATAACTACGGTTGTTCTATACAGACCTTATATCACATTTTGATGGTTCATTCATTTGTTCATCTTCAGAAGCAGTGACATAATCCTCTTCGTTCATTTCTTCTTCCATCACTACCCAATCTTCATCTCTCTCGTACACACCAACTTTCTCGTCTTCATCGTCACTGATAATTTCATCACTATCAGTCTCAACCTCTTCTTGAATCGCTGTTTGTTGGCAATCTTCTGATGAATTTGAATTTTTATTTTCAGATTTCTAGAAATTGAGAAAAACTTTATCAGTTTACATTACACAATATGATCTATTTCATTACAGAACGTCCAACAAATAAACATTGGAAATTTCGGTAGTTGAACATACATTTTTTCACAGCACATTATTTAACCCATTAACTGGACCGACAAGTGAAATTGTCTGGGGTTGGACAGCGTAAGATACTAGAATAGGGTACATCTGGGTGCATTGCCAGCTAATGGGTTAATTAGCCAAATTAGTTTTACCATTATCCAAAGCATTATATTATCACATAGAGTACCTGAACGTTGCACATTTGTTGCAATTGATGGGCTTCTTTACGCAATTTTCTGTGCCTGTATTTCAGCTTTCGATACGTTTCATGAAGATGAGCAAACTTTGTTTTGTGATTAGCACAATTCTGACATTCTGACATAGCTGTAGAAGTTGCAGTAACAGTTGGTAGCTCTGTGTCTGGTTGTGGATAAGACTGATCATTTTCTACCTCTTGTGCAAGAAGTACCCCCGAGTCGATACCATCATTCGTTGTGACAGAGCTTTCAGGTTTCAAGTCAATGCTTCGAACAATCTAAAGATTGGAACAAAAAATGTTTACAGTATATACAACAAGGTAGCCCAATACATACGTACAGTCTGCAGAAGCACCAGGAAATCTTGATTAAAATTTAACATCAAAACATCTATTTTATAAATTATGTATATATTTCTTGATTACTCTGATACTTAACATATTGCAGATTATTAATCTACAGTATGTGTAACCCATTCCTACAGTTAACCGATCTTGCATACTCATATTGACATACAAAATATCACATCTGCATGACTATATTATAAACGTTTATACATCAAATCCATGCTTTCTTATCGATAGTTAATATTAGTTATAAGTTATATTTTTCTTATATTTTGCCTTCGGTAGCGAATTAACTAGCAACAAAAATTACTATTTTAAACTTATATACACACATAGTGTAAACGGGCCTTTAGTTTATGCCGTCAAGAGTGTCGATTTATGTTATGAATAATGTAAGATGGCGCACACAAACAATTTATGCATAATTATTTATTTATACCTTTCTTCTTTCACAAGCGGAAATCTCCTGGGCTTGTGGCTCTAAAACAACGCAATCCACACTTGGTATCGAGCCTTTCTTCAGCCATCTTTTCGTGGTGAATTTTTCGGCGTCTTGTAGATTTAGATCAAGCCGTTGTTCAAAATCTGTGAGAACAAAGTGAGCCGAGCAAAGCACCGAAGTGCTAGATGGCTTCCATTGTGCGCGATGTCTTTGGACAAACGTAGTCCATTTTGCCCGTAAAAAACTATCGCTAGGGAAACGATGCATCGATATTCCTTCAGTTTTTGAATTATTTTTGCAACTGACATTGCCAGGTCCACCAGCAACGCAATACTTTCCTAGAGATTTCCCTTTCGCTCGGCTGTTTTGTGTCTCCGCCATGACAATCACCTTCCGAATGAACGCGTGAGTACAACCAGTGACGTCACAGCGTTGATTTGGCCGCGCGTCAGCGTGGGACAAATGCAGGCATCAGTTGGCAACTTTGCAAGCTTATTACTCGACTTTAAAAAATCGCGGGGCAAAAATAAACTAGTGGATGATATTCAGCATAGTTTAAACTATAAAATGAGCACAATTGTGAAAAAAATTTTCAGCCATTTCATAAACACTTTAACATTCGCTATTTATGCTATACTATTACAAAACATTTTCTGTTGTAGTGTATAATGGCATATTTTCACCAGATGAAATAAAAACAAAGTCATATTTCGAAAAATAGATTAAAATTATATTGTAGACACGAAAGCTGTCAGACAATACAACCCACTTACTGTAAACTTTATAGTTTTCATCATCACCTGGTTAGCCTGCGAACAGGCTTTCTTTGAACTCTCCTCTTTGAAATTTGAGAGAGAGCCTGTAGGCCTAGCTAATAAAAATGTGTCTGTGCGTTGCTTAGAATGATGCAAGGTTCCCATTGGTTGAAACCGAGTAGTTGCTTATTAAGGTTACAGAACACCTTTGAGTGTTAATTTTGCCTAAGGCCACTATTTGTTGTATATTAGTTTCTCATCCCCGCCCGCACGCTTTTTAAGAAAATTGTCTTGTTCGCCATTATTGCCATTATTTCCATTTTTGACCATTATTACAAATTTTGTGATGTCTTCAAAATTATATTTGAAAGGAAGACATGCAATTAGAAACGTTCCCAAACCAAAAGTTTTAGTTAAGATACGAAATTTCATACCAATTGCAAAACTGCCAGTTTCTCTCGCATTTACGTAAAAGTTCTACCGAAAGCCAGGGGCAGGGAAAAAAACGCGAGACGACTAGGCTACAAAATTATTTCTCTATTCTGTGATTATTTCACATGTGGCCATGTTTTTAAGATGAAAACATACTCAGTTGCACTCACTAATTTTGTGCTGTTTTTGCAATGCTATAAATGCTAAATGCGCACTTTTTCAAAGTAATATTTACGGAGAGGGGAAATCCGACAAATAATGGCATAATGGTAATGGCCCGCCCGCCCGCATCAACTTTAGGTGAAGCCCCGGATGAGAAACTAATATGCAACAAATAGTGGCCTAAAATTTTTTTATTGGTTTCCATGAAAGCATTAGACCAGTTCTACTATCTGACCAAGTTTCAACGAAAAATGTTGAAAACTCGCAGTTATTTAATAAAATACATTTCGCTGCAATAAGAAAAACATTGGAAATGTAATATTCAAATTCAATTTTCTCCCGAAGAATTTTACGGTAATTACTGATTTTTAAATGAGTTGTTCTCCTGCAGGTTTTAACCAATTTTTCTCAAATTTTCACAGGACATAGCTAAAGACGTCAGTTTCAAAATTGTGTTCGGCTTTTTTAAAATTTTTGATATTTTAATAATAAAAAGCAATTCACTCAAACAATTCAGAAATATATTGCAGTCGTCAAAGAAATTGCCATATCAGCGGAAAGACGAAATAAACAAAAATTTGCGAACACAATTTTTTAGATCAACTATTTTTGCTGTATAAAAATGATATTTTCATAAATATAACTTAAAACCAGCAGGAGCACAACTCAAAACCATAATTGGTACCGCGATTTAAGATTTTCCTGAATAATTCTTACATTATTTTATTGTTTGTTAATTTTAAGACTTTATAGGCCGTATTCTGTGGCTGATTATCGTTCAGTTCCGCTGCCCCCATTCGGGACCTACTTTTAGTTTACATGAATCTATAGATTTTGATACGCTGAGTACGAATTTACTTGTTGTCACTCGCAGAGACCCGCAGCTTTTTTGTATTTTACGATCAAACATCAACATTTTTTTATTAAAATTTCCGCCATTTTGTTCAGGAAACTTCATGTTATATACAGTTATTGTACTAGTCCAAGTCTCTTAGCAGGAGGGTTGCACGCGGTATTACGCAGTTTGTTATCATTCTTCTGAGAAAAATATACAGAAATAAAATAAAAATATAGATATTTTTCCACAATATAAATGCAAAAGGTACTGCTACATGTTTGTAAATACTTAGGAATTAATCTATTATTCTTTATTGCATCAACTTTTGGCTCATCATGATGTGAAATTGCAAAGACTGTCACTATATCCAGAAAGACTCTCACTTGTCACTGGTAAAGTTGTTTATTTTATTTATTACTGAAATTATGTACATAATTTTGGCCTTGCAATGTGAATAGGCAATTTTTCTTTGAGATTTTTGTCAACAATGAATAAGGAGCACAATATGCTAGACCTATTTGTAGACCATTGCCCATTATTAATTTATAGTAGCAGTTGACCTCAATAAAATTAACTCATCTATTTAATAAATCTGCACATAATTAGTTCCATTTTCTTGTATTATAATAACATTTTTGCTATTATGAGACGTTGAGCTTTATAAATAAAAACTTTTGGAAGATGGCTTTCACTCTACGACAGACAGCCTACTTTTGGTCTGTTTATATGGAGTTAACCCAACCTAGATTAGCTATATTTCTTTAATTACTTTATTGTTATTTAAGTATTTACATTAGAAAATGGTGGTCGCACAGGACATAGCCCCAATTATTACAGCTACCATATAACACCCTAGCTTGGTTATTCAATTTATGTGAGACTGTTGAGTCAAACATGGGCTTGCTGGAATTAACAAAGCAGCTAAGCAAAAAACTATATTCACACAAGCAAATCTCAAAGTCATGCCATCTAGAAACAATTGATTGAGCCATTTGAGGTTTAAATGTGTAAAAAAATATTAAATACAACATATTGTGATGATCCATCATCACCTTAAGCTCTAATCCTATTTGAGCTGCCATTAATTACCAATTGAACTACTGGAGATTCAGGGATATTTTATATTTGACAAGGCAGACAATAGAAATTTGAAGTAATCTGGCATCACTACCTACCAATATACCTTAGTTATATAAACCTGCTTTCCTCTTGGGCTGGCCTGCCTGGCCAAGACTCTTTTCCAAGCCTTAGATCTTGGATAATAGCTGGGGATTAAAGAATTAATACATAATTCACATCAATCTATTGATATAAATAACATTTCTTTATTTTCTTAGGGGGTGTTTATATGGAGGAGAGCCAGCCCTGATACCCAGTGAGCTAGCTTGTTTGCCGAGATCTAACATCTCTATGTAATTTATACTAACATTTATCTTGTGTTTAAATGGGAACCGAGCTGGCCTGCCTAGGTGAGATCTTGAAAAATAAAAATATATTTACTTATATTATACTATTTATAGCGGTAAGACCAATAATTTGTTTTGGCAAGACAGCCCACCTCAAAAGTCTCATTTAAACATTGGATAAAATCAGCTCAGCAAAGAGAGCTAGCTCGGGTACCTGTATGGCCTGGCTCACCTCCTTATAAACACCCCATTAGAAGATTTCAAAGTTAAAATCTCTTTTGAAATCTCTCTGAGGGATAAAACCTTTAAAACTTTATTGTTGACAAAAATTTCATGTAGACAGTATCCAGGAAAATTGCCTTTTCATATTGTAAGGCCAAAATTATGTACATAATTTCAGTAATAAATAAAATGAACAACTTTACCAATGGCAAGTGAGAGTCTTTCTGGATATAGTGACAGTCTTTGCAATTTCACATCATGATGAGCCAAAAAACCCAAAAGTTGATGCAATAAAGAATAATAGATTAATTCCTAAGTATTTACAAACATGTAGCAGTACCTTTTGCATTTATATTGTGGAAAAATATCTATATTTTTATTTTATTTCTGTATATTTTTCTCAGAAGAATGATAACAAACTGCGTAATACCGCGTGCAACCCCCCTGCTAAGAGACTTGGGCTAGTACAATAACTGTATATAACATGAAGTTTCCTGAACAAAATGGCGGAAATTTTAATAAAAAATGTTGATGTTTGATCGTAAAATACAAAAAAACTGCGGGTCTCTGCGAGTGACAACAAGTGAATTCGTACTCAGCGTATCAAAATCTATATATTCATGTAAACTAGTAGGTTCCGAATGGGGGCAATGAAATTTGTTTTCTAAGCGACTTTTGGGGTCACAGAATACGGCCTATTACCATATTTTGCATGCACTGGCGAATATTTGGTGAAAATTTGATTAAAATCGGACTGATATTGAGCGCACAGTAGCGATTTTCCGCAAAATGCCAAAATGGGTGTCCTGTAACCTTAACTACATTATACTGCCATAAATGGTAATGAAATTTACACAACAATAGATTCAAGATGTCAACACAAGGCACAGAAATCGAAAAATATCATTCAATGGCAATAAAAAAATGTATTAGACGAGTTGTATAGAAAACTAAATTTTTGTTTAAAGTTAAAGGATCGGCAGCCAAATTTGCATTCTTGAGCATTCTAGTATGCCGTAGTTGTTCAAACTGCTACGTTATTTACATCATTTTCATGGCTCATGACCACGCCAACAAAGTAAAACGTTCAAGTCATTTGCGGTGTTTTATGTGAATTCACTTACCACAGCTACTTCAGGGAATTTCAGGGTTGTTTGAAAGAAAGACAAGCCCTTTTAAAAGTTTAGCAATGTATGTTTTCACTCAAATACAAAAGTATAAGTAATTTTGTTTTCTGCTGTCGCCTTTGTTGGTTGCCAAACTCACTATTATTACTGACAGGCTACGCTTAATATTCCAACTTTCAGTCCTTGTTGGGGAGAGGAAAAGAAGAGAACCAGCTTTTGCCAATCATCATTTATTCATTTGTCCTCTAATTAGTATTATAGAGGACCAAATGGAAGAAGCTAAGGACCTTGGTATGAGCTCGGTTTGTGTTAGTGACGAACCGAACATAGGACATAAAATGTATGTCCATATTTTACTTTTAAAGATACATTGCAACAACGGCAAAATTGTTCACATTTTTAGCTGCTTTTTTGCATGTAATTTTTTTAAGTTTCTTTCCAACTTGACATTACAGACTTGTTATAAAAAATCATACGTTGAAATTGAGATTTGTGTTTTGTTTACATATATTTGCTGCCTATTACATAAGGCGTGTCTGATATTAATTTGTTACATTGTAATCTTGTAATTAATTAGTAAAATTTGACACATTTTACATTTGATTGACAACACTAACAAGATGGGCACAGGCGTATTTTTATTGACTAAACCGGAAGGCTCTAATTCAATTCAAAGAGCATGTTCGCAGGGTATCACCTGTTTAACCCATTGAGTATGTGGCAGCACTCTCCCTTTGATGAGTAAAATCTGGTGTTATACAGAGTAAAATATATAAGAAGAGGTGCATATGTACTCAAAGGCTTAATCTGGCCCAATCTGGTTTAAATCGGGAACTGTTTGGAAACTTCTCACCGTGTATTGTTCGACATGTCTTATAGTATGAAGTTTAGTGAAATTTTTTAGTGCTTAAACTCTCAAGAAAATGTTTCATGTGAGATTTTGTTGTTGAATCATCATTGTGGTTGGGAAGACAGCAAGCGAAGTTGGAAAAGAAAACATATATGAATGTCCAGAAAGATAGACCTGCACTTATATGCGCTTTGCTTACCTGCAAAGTGAGGCTGAATCTGACTTCTAATATTTAGAACTTGTATGCAAAGTGCATATGTAAATTTAGTGTGATCGAAACATTACAGCGAAATATTAGCTGAGCACCGAATGTCATCATACAAACATGTCATTATAAACAATGTTTTATTTATCCGGTCAATTCAGTATATAATAATTAATTTAATTTCTTTGTGATAAAGTTACAATGTAAAATAATATTAGGCTACATGTAACTGTCTGGTTGGTATATTTGTGAATTTAGGCTGTATATTGTTAATGACAGTTATACGGTTTGTTGACATGTATGCATTAGTATATGGCGCCTATACTGGCAATGCTATGTTTACAAATTCAAGGTTACTTTATTTGTAAATATTTTGGTGATATTATGCAGTATGGTGGCATATGTTTTATTTATATTATGAATATTCTGTCAAATAATTACTGGTTAAAATTAGGATGTGTTTATATGGAAGTGAGCCATCTTCATATTGAGATGTGTTTTTAGATGATTTTAATTCAGGTTCTCAGTCAAATCTTTGTTGTCAACAAATATTTATCCTGCTGAGGGGGTGACCAAGTGAGTGTTATGCAAAAGACATGGAAATGTATACTTGTGAAAATCGATTGTGTGCAAGCCCACTCATTTGAATCCATCAGGATGAGAAAATCATCAACAAAATCACTAACTGTGAATCAGGCTTTAGGCAGGTTGTCAAGCAAAAAGCCCCATTATGGAGCAATATAACATTGAGCCATTAAACACTTGAAAGCAAGTTGTAATCACACTGTTACAGTTATGAGCACTTAAACAATCATGGAAATGGAGGAAATGTCATCTACGACTGCAGATTACTGATATAAATATTCTTATTATCAGTGCATACAAGGGGGGCAATCACCCCCTCCCCAAATAATAATTCCTGAAAGTCTTGTGTAACTACATGTGTAACAAAGCTGTTTACATCTAATTGAAAGCTATAAATTGGTAGGTTATACATGATTAAGCAAATTCGCAAGAAATGTATATAAGTTTAACCCATTGAGTTGCAGTATGCTCTAATTGAGAAATAAAGTACCATTCTTTATTATTGTACTCTGTCTAACACTCTAACACCAGATGACTTCACTTGTCAAAGGGGAGACTGCTGGCTCTCAATAGGTTAAAGAATTAAGATGTCTGGCAACTGGGTGGTAATATGGTAGTCATCCACATCCTCCTCCTTTGTCTTATATAGCTGTTAGTCAAAGAACCATGTAGATATTGGTCATGCAAGCAAATAAAAATGATAGTTAACTTAATTACTGCTGTCACAATACACACCCAAATACCACATTCTGTGCTACATTAATTGTCTAGTTCTTGGGTAATTTTACTCATCATTGGAAAGACCTTGTACACTGATGGGGTTAACATAGATTTCTTTAACTATGTTGTAAAAAAAAGTGAAGTAACAATATGCAAATTAGGTAAATGCATGAATTAAGCATGCGTTGAAAGGCATTGGTGCCAAAACATTAAAGTTCCAGTGCCTATTTGAACGACTTAAAATTGCATGAGCAAATTTTCTGATATTTGGACCATTAAGAAAACACATAACAAAGTTCTCGTCCATGAACTCAAAATGCGTTTTAAACTTTTAAATTTTGTGTGCAGCTATATTTAATGCTGTTAAAAAAAGACCCCTCCCCCTGCTTTGGAAAATTAATCTTTACGAATCTTAATACATTAATCTTATACATTATGCTAACTTTTTAGATCACCCCTGACGAAGATCTTGAGATTAACTTTTTAGATCACCCCTGATGAGCTAGCCTACACACCCCTGAAGACCTAGCCTGCGATCGTGTAAATATTTAACTCGTATGATATTTCGCGGGAATTTGATGCAACTAGCCCAAGGACCAAGGTGACAAAATGTAATTTTAGCTGGCATTCATTCAGTGGTGTTAAACCATGACTTTGTTTATCTCTTCGAAGAAGTAACTGAACGTATTTCAGAAACCTTTCAATTTAAATTAACATTGAAGGATGAGCAAAGGCTAGCAATAACTTCGTAGCTTCTGAATAAAAATGATGTTTTTGCCGTACTTCCAACGGGATTTGGTGTAAAAGTTTAATATAGCTACCAATACTTTGTCTGCATCAAAGAACGACTTACCTCGACGGCATCTGTTTTAATAATTTGCCCATTGTCTGGGCTTATTCAAGACCAGATTGTTGAGGCGGAAAGCCTGGGGTTGTCAGCGAAGTATTTGGGAGAAATGTTAGATGAAAAGTCGACTGAAGGCATATTTGATGATCAATTGCTTTAAAATGATTCACTGCCTGTGTCTCGATGAACATCTCGCTGGGCTTGTTCAATGTTGGTAATAATTCTTTTGAAAACACACAAAAGTCTTGAAGCTTTCTGCCGCAAGTGATCAAGCAAACGTATAAATTGTAAATATTTACTAAATTGTAATTGTATTCATTTATACTAATTTTTTTTTCTGATATGTATATAGTCGTAATCTTTAATACTTTTTATGCCTGTAAATATCAAATTTATTTTTTATGGTTAATACGTTTTCGTCGTGAAATAAAGTTTCTATTCCATTCTATTAAACCCGGTTAGATAAATTGTCAGCCTGAACTATACTTATTTTACTTTCTCTGCAAAGATCAGCAAGGCATACGTCGAAGTTTTTGCCTTGTACTTCTTTGGAAAAGGTTTATAGTAGAACACCTGGCCAATTTGAATTTACACCTTCAAATTCTGCACTGATAGTTGTGTGCGTAGTCTTTGCATGACCGAAGTCCTCAAGTCCGCCCTAACCTGAAGTTCAGGCCCTAATCACAGAATAGGGCCTGACACAAAACCTGTCTAAACTGTGGGATTCCCGTCCATCTGGTGGACGGGAAATCTGATTGGTTGATCCGCATCATGAAAGATTTTGATTGGTTGCAAGTTCACATAAACAACAGTTTTAAAAATAGCTCGGTCAAGTCAAGGGCTCAAGGCAACAATTAATATAAAGGTCAAATGCATGTAACAAATTCCATTATCGATTTCTTCGAATTTCTTTTCTTTTATGCTATATGGCAGAAAATAAATCAAACAAACAGTATTTTGAAAGGGCTTTATCAAAATCTTTGACGAATTTTGGACATACGACGCCGAAAGAACAGCCAAACTAGTGAAGTATTCGAAAGCTTGTTGTTGACAGCCAAGATGTCCTGACAACTGGCTTCGCCGGCAAAAGTCTTATTTTTAATATTCAGTCCTACCGGCGTTGTTTTCCAAGCTTAGTACATCGCCTTCTTCATGGTACGATTGAGAATTTCTTTGTTGCTGCTGTTAGCCCCTTAGAGTATATCAAATTGTCTATTGAGTTGTATTATTGAGCAATTGACAGACTTCACGCTATTAATGTAAACATTTAAAACTATACAAATAGTTGTTACACTTCACCTGTAAGAACTGTTTGCTGTTGTTTTTAGCCTGCTATTGTTCGATACTTTTAATAAATAGTGTTGGTTCAAAACCTAAATACGTTTCCTTAAATCTTACAGTTATATTTTGGAAAAAAATTTTTATTCTTTATATTAAAATGTGAATACATTTAATATAAAGAATAAAATTTACGTGTCTGTAATATAGCAGCATAATAATTTCAAACGGCAATGTATGAACGGGACAGCAATATACAAACGGCACTATATTTTAAATATTAGAACATGTTTAGGGAAAAAACGAGGGGGCATATTGAAAAAATATCAATAAAAGTCGCAGGCTCTCATTTAAGAGCCTGTGAGCAGGCTACTGATGAGCGGATTTGTGAAATTGAGAGCCGTTTCAAAATTGTCTACTTATTTTTCACACACCTGTTGAGAATGGAGCATTCACTTGGCTTAAAATTGCCTTTGCAAAGTGCTTGTCTCATACTGCCCTGCCATGTCAGTTTTTGAAATATGATCATACAGCAGCAGTGATTGAAGAAGCAATGCATAATGTGCATAATTATGAATTCAGCTTGATGATGTTTACTTTAGTGACGATAATTTGTTTACAATTCAAACATACTATCCTGCCCAAACTGTTGATATTTAATATCATAACCACCAAAAGCAAATGACGGCCATGCTGGTGATGGCCATGCTTCACCGTCCATATATGTTGAGGACCGAAATTGAAGAGGAAATGTGCTGCTCAGAATCCAGGAAATGGTGTTTCCACGATTCAAATTTCAAAATTTGTTTGGGGGAGCATGCCGCCAGTCCTCCCTAGTCAAGCGAGGTTCAGGAGCAACAGTCAGTTTTGGGGTCTGGATCCGACCCTGCTGGAGCAGAATTCATTATATTGAAAATTTGTTCTTTGGCAGCAAAAGGATTTGGAGCTTTTGTCTTTGTTGTTGCCTTCTTCATTACGTTCATCATTCCCTTCTCCATTAACTTCATCATTCATTGCCTTCTTCATTAGCTTCACCATTGCCTTCTTTGTTACCTTCATCATTGAATTCTTTGTTGCCTTCATCATTGCATTCATCATTGTCTTCTTGATTATATTCATCATTGCCTTCTTCATTATCTTCATCATTGCCTTCTTCATTGCATTCATCATCTGACGTTTCCTCAAGACCAAATGAAGTGACTCGGCTGGTCTCTCATGCTACGTATTAACAAGGTGAGCAATCAAGTTTGTATTAAGAATGTTCAAGCAGTAATACACCATTAAATTAAAAAATCGCAGCATTTTTGTCGGTTTATGTGGCTACACACATACATGTTCTCAATGTGACTGGTCTGCCAGATTTTAATATATTATGTCTTTAACTACTAATCTATTGTGCATGGTAGAGTGGTGCAGCCGGGATATTTAGCTGTGAATGCAAAAATTCTAGCTGAATTAATGGATAGTGTAATGAAAGCTATGGAATGCAAGTGCATTGAAACATAGGTTAGACAGTAAAACAGCCCTGTGTTTGTATTGAAAACAGGGGGGAGTGGAAACAATTTGTTTGTCACCACGTTGGTGAAATTTTAAAATTAACACACAAAAATGATTGGGGGTACAAAAACACAGAATATCCAGCAGACTTAGGCTGAAGAGGAACATCACAGCATGATGACAATGCATTGACAGATGGGAAAGTTATTAATGCTGAAAATGTGTGGGTTGAAGCAGCACAAACAGAGTTACACGAACAGGGTAATTTTGATCAGCTTAGAGGGATGTTAAATATAATTGAAGATGAAAATGGCATACTTAGGTGCATAGGAAGACTTGGAAATTCAGATTTAATGATTTTCCTCATAAACCATTAATTTTGTCCAGAGCAAACACAGGTTTACTAATTTAGCTATTTAAGATTGTCGAAAAAGGCTTACATTGCTCTATTCTCTTGTTGCATGACACATGCTGTACATCTGGAATTAGTTTAGGGTTTGACATCACTGACATTTGGATGAGCACTTAGGCATTTTTCAAGTAGATGTGGAACACTGGGCCCTGATAGTTTCTCACAGTTTATGATCAATTAGAACTTTTTCTAACTAAAAAAAAGTAATATATGAATATCAATTTGGATTTAAGAAAGGTTTTTCTACTGAACAGGTAATATTAGTTAACATGCGCAACTCAACGAAAATGAATTCTCATCTGATATGAAACGAATATTATAATCAAATACCATTCCATCCCTTTGGTTCAGACCGCACATCAATATTCAATATTTTAGAAAGGACTCGACACTTTCCCATGTTAAACTCCAAAACAAATGTTCACATTGTTGTAATTTGTTGAAAAAGGAAACAAAAATTCCCTCACTACATGGGCTTGGATTGTTCACTTGGGCACCAGTTATTTCAAAGAATAATAATTTATAGAAATGCTGAAGTAACAGATTGAAGTTAACAATTAATGCATGGTTTACTTTGTTATTTAAACTGAGATACTTTCTTCTTCTAACAATTCGATACTCAATACAGGTATATAGACAGAGAATAAAAGATTATGAGTACAACTGATAAAAAGTGCAGAGCAGTTGCAGTCTCATGTACCTAACTCGTCCATTGTGACTATGTGAACACTCAATTCAGCCGGTTTAAACAGATTTATGTACTGTAAATATTAATTATTAGTGAATATTAATGTCCTTAATTATCTGTATCTCACATAATTGCATGCATGTGTTAAAATGCTATTGTTTATTTGAATTGGAGATTGTGCACAATAAGTTAGTGCATGCTCACAATTATAAGGTAGTGGTTTGTAAACCCTGTTTAATTCAGCTCTGCATGCCTAATCAGCTGTTTACAGCTCTGAACTCAGCCAGCTCAACCTAGAACTGGCCTGTTGGTGATAAACTTGAAAGAACAGCCTAACTGCCCATTATATTTTTTTTGTTGAACATACTTGTCCCCATTTAATAGTTATTTGGTCATAATTATCTGTGATCAAAACATTGCCATCTCATACTTGTCTACTTGAAAAAATTAACATTTTTTGAAATTTGTACAAGGCAACCACTTTTGGCAAAACTCACCACAGTGCACAGCCACACAATACTGTACCATTTAAATTCTCAAAAAGTATTAATTGACAGGATATAATTTATCAATTCAAATGATATGTACTAATTGAGGGGGGGCATTGGGGGCTATTCAATACCATAATACTGCAATCAAATTTTGTCAATTACCGCAGTTTTTGAGTCCAAACTTTTGTGAACTGCAAGATTTCCAATACCGCAATTTGTCAAGGAAAATACCGAAATACCGTAAGAAAATTAAGCTAATACCGCCATACCGTAAATCCCAATGTCCCCCTCCTAATTAACTGTATTCCACAATTAATTAACAATCGCTTCAACTAATATGTTTTCCAGATGTCTACAGCTAGCCTCTCCTGTTTTAAAATCCAATGAAGTGGGATTTAAATCAGTAACATCATTTGTCCTTGGGGTGTGCACTTTACTTAATTATACCCAATACAAAAATTGTCCGGAGTTGGAGTATAAATGGAAGAAGAAAAATAACATGCATTTGCACTGGCACATTTGCACTGGCAAATCATTAACACTGGACATTTTGTCTACAACACAAGTTGTTCAAAGCGAAAGCATCCACTTATATTGTCTGGTGGAAATCAAATCACTGCAGGGGCATCAGAGTAAATCGATTATGTAATAATGAAATTAAAACCAATACAAGGAAGGTGTGCACAAATATACTGAATTGCACAATGTTATTGTTATATATTACCACAGAGTTATTTATTTAATTACTGTAGTCTACAGGGCCTTCATCGTACAGTTATAGTATTTCCACTGTTATAAAAATATAAATTTTTCACGCATCCTTTAAGATTCCCAAATAAAAAAAAACCTTCACCAGAATTACGCGTTGCCTCACTAGAAGGCCAGGTTACAACCGTGGAGACTGATATGGAGAACCTGAAACAGTACTTGCGGAGAGATATTATTGAAATTCATGGTGTCCCTGTGAGTGCAGACAAAGATACTAATAGCATTGTGAGACATGTTGTCGAATTGGTCGATTCCGAAATTAATTTGGACGATCGTGATATCTCTATCAGCCATCGGCTTCCCGCTTCGCCCGGACGTATTACGGCGATTATTTGACACGTCGCGATGTTCGAAACAAAATTTTTAATCTGAAGCATAATCTCAGGTTTAAAAACGCTCGAGATCTTGGTTTCCAGCAAGACTCAAAGTTATACATCAATGAAAGTCTCACACAGAAATGCAGGGAGTTGTTGAAAACAGTTAAATCATTCAAGAGGGAGAATTATTTAAAAAAAAGTCTTTCTACAAAAAGACGAAAACCAATCTTCCTGCGTTTGGGCTTTCACGACGTTAAAATTGTTCGAACGCTTCAAAGTTGATTACCAACAAGCACTAAAACGAATAGATCCTACATTCAGTTAAGTTTTATTTAATTTGTGTTGTCTCGAATTCGTTAATATTCTACCATTTAGTCACCTAGACGATGACAAGTTTCAATTAGTTTTGTACGAACTTAACAATGGTCCAATAAACTTTGACGTAGATTGTTTAAATATTATATTTAATCCTTTATTATCTGGTTGTCACAAAAGTTTAGCCCTCTCTAACGATTTGGACCCTGATTCTAATTTCTATACGAATGAGTTCAAATGCGATTATTACACAGAACAGAAATTTAATGAGATGATGATAACAAGTATTATAACACCTACTAATTCGCATTGTTTATCTTTTCTTCATTTAAATATGCGTAGCCTCACTCGTAATTTTAGTAATTTGACAAATTTGCTTGCTAATATTGATAATAGGTTTTCTGTTATTGGCATCTCAGAAACATGGTTATCTAACTCACAACACACTTGTGATATAGACGGTTATAATTTTGTGCACAATCGTCGTAGTCATAGAACCGGTGGAGGTGTCGGTATTTACTTAGCTTCTGAGTTAGATTTTAAGCATTGTAATGATATAACTTTTGATGACCCATGTATAGAATCATTCTTTATAGAAATCTGTCGTCCCAAGGGGAAAAACATTATTGAGGGTGTTATTTATAACCCTCCAAACCAGAGTGTGGGTGAATTTGTTAAATGTACTGAGATTTTAATGACAAATATATCTAAAGAAAATAAGGTTTGTTATTTGATGGGTGATTTTAACTTAAACTTAATGAACTATCATTGTCATAAATATACAAATGAATTTCTGGATATAATGTACTGTAATATGTTTTTCCCTTTGATAACGTGCCCTACTAGAATAACCTCTTACACAGCCACGCTTATTGACAACATATTTACAAATCACCTTGAGAGTTACTGTTTTAGTGGTTTATTATTCACAGATATATCCGATCACCTACCACTATGTTGTGTTCTTTATGACCAATGCACCTCTGTTGATAAGGAGGCGTATGTCGTTTACCGTGACAAAAACAAAACAAACATTGCTAAATTTCATGACAAATTACGAAATATAGTTTGGTCTGATCTTCCGGAATATAATGACCCTAAACATGCATATGGTAGTTTTTTGAATAAATTTACCGAAACATTTAATTATTGTTTTCCATTGAAAAAAGTAAATGCTTTCAAGTATGGCTTCAGAAAGCCTTGGTTATCGAAAGGTCTTTTGAAGTCTATAAAAAGGAAAAACAAATTGTTTAAAAAATATTTGAGTATTCCGTGTCCGATTAATGAGAATGTCTACAAAAAATTTAGGAATAAACTTAACCATTTGTTACGGATTGCCAAACGTAAATATTATGAAGGAAAACTTGAGAATGCTAAATCAAATACCAAAAATACTTGGAAGATCTTAAGCGAAGTAGTAAATAAGAAACGACGACGTAGGAAACTACCCTCCAACTTTGCAGTTGACAATCAAAATATTTCTGATCCAGTAGAGATTGCAAATTACTTTTGTGATTATTTTACTAATATTGGCCCAAATTTGGCAAAAACAATTCCTAGAATGTCTAATTCGTATAAATCTTTTCTCACAGGCAACTAAATTTGTGGATTCCATATTTTTAGATTTAACTACCGAACCTGAAATAATAAATATTGTGAATTCTCTTCGTTCTGGTATTGCAGCAGGATATGATAAGATCTCTATTTGGTCTGTGAAAGATTCTAGTGCCTTAATAATAATAATATGACTTTATTTAAACACAATAATTTTTAAAGCATAAGCTTGTGGGGTCGTGCACTTAGAGATATATACAAAAGTTATGAATTACATGTAAGAATTAATTACTATCTATTTACTAACTATGTCTATAAAAAGACAAAGTCTTTGAAGGTGATTGTTTTTATGGCCTTTTTTACGAAAGCATTAACATTGTCATATTCATCAATGTTTATTTCGCTATGTTTTCGATTTATATCATTCCACAAGGTTGCACCTCTATACGTTATAGAGAGCTTCAGAGTTTTTGTATTGAAGCGGGGTGCAGATAGTTGGTATTTGGCTCGTAGAGAGTAATTGCATTCTCGTCTGCTTACCAAGTCTGACATCTAGTTAGGTGTTACATTCTTAATTATTTTACAAATTAGTTTCAATATAGCTGTCTTATAGTAGAAGAATAATGTGTTCCAACCGACTTTGGAAAGCACATCTTCCGATGGCATGTATCTAGGTAATTTGTTTTTAATTCTTGCAGCTCTACAATGCAAGCGTTCTAATGACTTGAAGTTTTCCTTGTTACTACATCCGCCCCAGACAACCAGTGCGTAGGTAATGGATGGAAGAATGACTTTAAAGTATAAATCTAATAGTACACTTGTCGGCAAAAACCTTGATGTTTTTACAAGATTTAATTTGTTAACATAATTCAGTTTTAGTTCCGATATATGTTCATTCCAACTGAGATTCTCATCAATGACCATCCCGAGAAGTTTCGTCTTTTTTACCCACTTGATCATTTGCTCTCCTAGAAAAACTGGGGCAAGTGGGCCTATTATACGTTGTTTTGAGAGGAGCATCACTTCACTTTTTTGGGGATGTGGGGTTAGTTGGTTGGCAATTTTCGATAATCAATTTCGAGCCCTTTGGCACATATACTTAATTTATCCTTAAAACTAGGGATTGTTCCAGATCAGTTGAAAATTGCTCGTGTTTTGCCATTATTTAAGTCTGGTGATAATATGTTGTCAAATTATCGACCTATTTCAGTTTTGCCCATCTTTTCCAAAATATTTGAAAAGGTTGTGTATTTAACAATTATTCGGCGAAGGCGAGGTGAATATTGCTGAATAAAAACCGAGACAAAATTTTAGTATAATTACAAAGGAGATTATTTGAAAAAAATAATATAACACATTTCAATATTTTTTTCGTACGGCGGTGACTTTATAGGTTTCGATATCCAGAGTCGCTCATATCGCCATCAAGAATGCTTTTTTGTAGTAATTTCCATCACTTTTTCTTATAGAAACGTAGAATTTTGATAAACATTTGTTTATTCCGTCAATATTCATGTCTTCAAACTCATTTGTGAATTGTGACTGTTGTTGAAACCGATCTGTTGTAGAAAATACATTTTTTACAAACGTAAACAAATATGTCTAAACTATATATTGTACGGCAACTTGAATAAAACGGTGTTTTGTGCGAAATAAAGTTAAGCAGAATTCTGCAACGTAGTTTCCCATCTCGAAATACGTTTAAGCCAAATTTTGTCACTTCTTTCGTGCTTTTAGGTACAGTATTTTCTTTAAAATTAGTAACTTATTTCTTCATCTGTCACTTCGACAAAACCACTTGAAAAAAAAAAAAACGCTTAGGTGATTATTGCGTAATAATCTGAGGTCGCTTGACCAATCAGCAGCCACAATTTTCGATAATCACCTTTGTAATTATACTAAAATCATTTAATCACCTATTTTAATAAATATGATATTTTGTTTAAAAATCAATACGGTTTTAGTTAAGGCCATTCAACATCTTTAGCCCTTCATCATTTATTTGATAACATCACCAAAGCAATCGACCAGAAAGAGTATACTATAGCTGTTTTTATTGATCTCTCAAAAGCATTTGATATGGTAAATCATGAAATATTGATTAACAAACTAAAGCACTATGGCATCCACGGATTGGCCCTTGATTGGATTAAGAGCTATTTTGGTAATAGAATAGGCAGCAGTATGTTGAATATAATGGTGCCTATTCATCTTATGATAGTATAAAATGTGGAGTGCCTCAAGGGTCAATTCTTGGTCCATTGCTGTTTTTGATTTATATTAATGATCTCTGTAACCCATCAAATATTGTTGAACTGATTCTATTTGCCGATGACACACGAACATATTTTTCTCTCATAACAATTTGCCGCTTTTGATGAATATAATTAATTCTGAAATGAACAAGTTATCTGAATGGTTCAGGGCTAATAAATTAACAATCAATGCTAAAAAATCTAATTATATGATTTTTAGATCACGTCAAAAAAGGCAAATTCTTGACTTATCATTAGAATTAAATGGCCATAAAATTGTTTCTGGGTGTAATATTAGACGAATGTATGACGTGGAAAACCTCATATTTTGCACGTTGCTAGTAACATTTCCAAATCAGTAGGAATTATACACAAGTCAAGTTTTTGCCTTTCTAAATCAGCATTACATTTGCTCTGTTATGCTCTCATATACCCTTATCTGCAATATTGTATTACAGTTTGGGGTTCTACTTATCCTTCTAATTTATATCGTATTGTCTTAATTCAAAAGCATGTTATTAGAGTTATTAGTAAGGAGGCATTTCATGCACACACTGACCCCATTTTTCAGAAATTATGCATTTTGAAATTTACCGATGTCTACTTACTTCAATTAGGCACACTTATGTACAAATACAATAATAATTTACTTCCTCTAACTTTTGATAACTCATTTAAAAAAATCAATCAAATTCATACATACAACACACACAGATCTAAACAATATTATATTCCTACTTGTAGAACCAAAATTCGACAGTTTTCCGCAAGTTATCAAGGTCCCTTATTTTTTAATTCATTAAGTTCAGATATTTGTGATGCCTCAACTGTTTCCTTGTTCCAGTCTAAATTAAAAATGTACTTATCCAGTATCTTGTAAATTTTTCTGTATTATAGTTGTACTGAATGCCTTTTAATAGTGTTATAGTCATTTATATGTACGTCTAATTTCTGTCACTTTATTATAAACGTTTGCTGTATGTTTTAGTCAGGAGGATCCCAAAGTCCTTATAAGCCTTATGGTTTTTATTTGGGTCTCCTCGCCACTTCTGTAACTATATTAATATAATTATGTATATTTTTTGTGGCAAATTATTAAATTCAATTCTATTAAATTCAGACATGGAGCAATTATTCCTATTAAGTCTTAGTTTTAATTAACTTAATTTGCAGAAGAAAGCATTATTGGACTTGTGTACTGTGTGGAAAAGAATGTTGGAAAATCATTAACACTGGACATTTTGTCTACAGCACAAGAACAAGGGGGAATTTCGTTCTCGACCAATCAGCTCTTTTGTTTACATTTTTGCCCTAAGCCAATCAGAATGCGTAAAACGCTTCATCACATGAAATTTGTAAACAAACATATGGGGTTACTTCAGAGCTTTTCTGCAAGCGTTTTTTTTGTTTTTTTTCCAAGAAATTGATATATGTTGTTCTTAAAAGAATTCTCCACAACTTCCTCGTGGCGATTTTTGATTAATTGCGTGATTGCAAAGATATGGGTCTTCAAACTTTGCCTTGCGCAAGCTTAAATACCACCCCTCGAATTTGTAGGTTCCGAATGGATTAGCGTTTTTAAAAGACTTTCAAATCGAGGTTTGAGAGGTTTTATTTTTTAAAAGATACTTTTATCTTCATATTTTCACATTAACTTATTAATATCCTGTGTAACAAGTAAACAGGACACTTCCGGGCCGGGACAAGTTGACATGTCGATATCTTGCTAAACAGCGTGGCGATCAATATGGTTCGTATCTAAATACAGGGAATTTTTAAAATTTTGTTGGTATAAATGGACTAAAGAAACTCATCAAATATTTGGACTATGGACCTTCAAACTTATGCCAAGTATTTATTTGATTGATTAGCTCAATAAAATTTATGGTAACTATACTTGTATTTGAAATAAAAGAAGGAAAAACACAAAAAAGTTAAAAAGTATATTAACTGTAATTTATCATTACTTATTAGAGGGGGATAGCAATGGCCGAAGACCACATATGTGGGGGCATACTACCCAGAAAATTTTTGAAATTTGAAACCCACGAATGCCATTTTCTGCATTCTGAGCATCCAAATTTGCTCTGAAATTTATGCTAACTATACTTGTATTTGAAATAAAAGAAGGAAAAAACGCACAAAAAATAAAAAATTATTAACCAGAATTTATCATTACTTAGTGGTAGAAAAATGTTAATAAAAAGTCTTCTCTTTAAACATTTAACAGGAAAAATCAGCGATACAAAGTTTGTAAGTCGACGTTTCGATGTCATCATAACACCATTATCAAGACTAAGATAAAAATAAGCTAGTTCACTAAGATTTAAATACAGAATTTTTTGTATAGAATACATTATAATAAAATTAAATGACCATGTTATAATTATAAAAACAAAGTTAATGAGGCATACTAAAATAGTTTGGACTTAATTGAGTCTGATTGTCCGTTCAAACTAGGTTTATATTGTTTAATAAGCAACATTTCATGGATTAGGCAATCAAATTTGTTCTTACACTTGTGAAGGATCGAAAATTTTTTGTTAAGGGCGTCCACACTTTCTCCATGTACATCTTTAATATGCTTTCCCATGACAGAGCTCTTATGTTCTTCAATCCGTTGATGTAGGTGTCGGAGTTGTAAAACCGACATAACCAGCCTCGCACTGGTCACACTGAAACTTGTAGACAATGCATTGTTTGGACAGTAGAGCTGGCTTCTTTTCGCGTACGCTCAACTCCGATTTAATTTTCTTACTAACAAAGACCGGCCTTAATCGTTTCCCCACTTTATTTGATAAATCAGACAACTGATTCTTCACCATTGTTGCTGATTTCTTATCCTTAAACGGTAAGACAATGTTAATGGCGTCACGGTCGTCAACTTCAGTTTGGTGAGGAGCGTTGTCTTGGGAACCAGAGTCTTGAGCCACAAATTCATTTACAACTTTCGAAATAAAAGATCTAACCAACGCCTCAGGGTACTTAAGTCGAACAAACAAAAGAAGGAGCCGATCGCATTCTTTAAATCATTGAAGCGATGATGACAACATTTTAGCACGGTGTAACATTGTCTTAATCAGACCTATTTTATATCGATTATCAACTTGACTTTGATAATGAAGTAAAAGGCCTGTGTCCGTGGATTTGCGATAAACACTTGTTGAAAGGCAGTTTCCTTCTTTCGTCAGCATTGTACCGAGAAAGGGAAGCTGACCATTTTCATTTTGAACTTCCATTGTAAATGACAGCGAAGGATGAGCGTTGTTTAAGGTTTGATGGAAACTATGAGCCTCATCCATGTTGGCAACAGTGTATCGTCAACAAAACGGTTATAGTTCTCTGGCATCTTCCCTTCGTTTTCTAACTTTTCTTCTATTTAAGCACATCATAGCATTTGCCATGAGAGGCCCCAAAGGGGATCCCATGGCAACTCCATCAACCTGTTTGAATAATTGCCCATCAAACTGGAAAAGTTGATCTTTTGTAGCTATTTCTAGATGTCTGATTCTCTCATTTGCCTATGTTTGATATCTTCAACAAACTTAAAGACATCATTAATCATGTACTTGTTGTTAATCAGTGGTTTGAGCTTTTGGTTTAGCCATTCGGCTAGCTTGAAATTGTAGGTGCCTGTAGCCGAGAGAATGGGATGCATTTCCATAGGTTGCTTATGGGTCTTGAGCAAACCATAGAGGTGCGCCAGTCATGAG